TGTCGAAACTTTCCCCGCTGTTGAGTTCATTTCGGCAGAATTTACCACGCACATCATTGCTTGTCGTAAACCGTAGCTTGTTTATTCCGTAGTAGATTCCTCTAGCTTGGCTGGACCCTTGGCGCACTTGCCAAGCTCCCATCCCTCCACACCGCAGTCCCGCCCACCGTCCGGTCCCAGTGGCAGCCGCTGCTGCAGCTGAATGCCTGCGCGACGGCCGCCTGATCCTATCGCTGACGTGCCGCAGTTGAGGAGGAGCTACGCACCAATCCGGACTCACTGGGCGGCAGCGCAGCCTCCTCGCTAGCCGTGGGCGGCCTGCAACAGATCAAGGAGCAGCCGTCGCCGTCCGGCAGCGACTGCAGCAGCCAGAGCCATTTCGTCGAGCTGCGCGACAAAGAGCGGGACGGCCAGTTCCTCAGCGTTCCGCCGCCGGCGGCCAGCGCCGCCACCGCCGGCGGCGGCAGCGACTCCAGCTCCGAAACCCTAGTCGGTGAGTGTCCATAGCTGCGGTATGTTGGCTAGTGAATGTCGACAGCTGTGGTATATTGGTTGGTGAGTGTCGACAGCTCAGCCACCACGGTTGTTAGGTGGCGTCAGCTGCCACACCACAGTGGGAGAATATGCATAGCTCCGACAACACGGCCGGAGAGTGTTGATTTCTGCGATACCACGGTTGTTGGCTGGCGTCAGCTGCCACACCACAGTGGGAGAATGTGCATAGCTCCGACAACACGGCCGGAGAGTGTTGGTTTCTGCGACACCATGGTTGTTGAGTGGCGTCAGCTGCAACACCACGGACGATTAGGGGCGGCAGATGCGACACCACGGCCGGTGAGTGGCGTCAGATGCGACACCACGGTCGGTGAGCGGCGTCAGATGCGACAACAGGGTCGGTGAGTGTTAATAGCTGCAGCACCATGATCAGTGAGCAGCGTCAGCTGCGACACCACGGTTGGTAAGTGTTGTTAGCTCTGTCAAGTTTACCACCGGTTCACGTAACTGCACGGAAAAGGTGAGTAATATTCAAACCGATGCCGATGAATGGCAGCTATGTGTGACATGGAGCCAACCAAAATTCAAAACTAGGCAGTGTTCTGACTTTATCCAAAACAGCAGCAGTACCCTGTCACAAAGAAAATGCGAGTGAGATGATCCGAAATGGGCCACAAGCTGGGTGAACATCGGGGTATTTAAGCTTTCTCTTCTGTTTCTGTCTCTGATGAGTATTGCAAAAACTATCCACTCCCTGTCGTCCTGTTGCACAGTCCATGCAAAAAGTTGAAGATTATTTTTGCTTAGGAAAAGGCGAGTGATAAGAAGCCACCTGACACAAAGCTACACCAAAAAATAAAATTGGCATCATCAGACTGCGTAGTACTGGGAACCGCCTTCATTCAACACATCAGACTAATCTGTACTCAATGGGCCAATCCAAAGTGCTTCGAAAGAGGAATTCAATAAATGATCTGGTTTTTGTCGTCTTTTAGTGCTCTCCCGCCCCAGTTCGTTGGATTCCGTTCTGTCCACGACATTACTGCTGCGATACTGCTGCTCACGTCGTCTGGCGTCCATAAATATCTGCGCTGATTCCTTCAGCACCTGTGCCGGGGACGGAGCCAAGGAAGAGTCAAGGAAGCTACGTCCTACCCCACCGCCGGCCCAAGAAGTTTACGCTAGATACTGAGCTATTTCGTAGGAGTTCGGTCGAAGCTCGCAGGATTTGAGGGAAGGTTCGGCATTTGGCCCTTCCTCCCTGATGAAAATTTTGGCTACGTTCTTCACCTATGCCCGTTTCTCTTGGTCACATCTGATCCAACCGCAAAGGCAAGGGTGAAAATCACTACAACAAAACCATACAGGCGAAAGAATGAAGTAATTTCCGCGACGGAAATGGAATTCTCGTCCCTCCCACGGATCTTTCTATTGTACCCGCACCTTCGAGCGCCAGCTGCCCCGAGTTCCATCCATTCCCGGCTGCCGACTATTTGTAGAGCTCTACTGCTCTACAGCTGCCGACTATTTGTAGAGCTCTACTGCTCTACAGCTGCCGACTATTTGTAGAGCTCTACTGCTCTACAGCTGCCGACTATTTGTAGAACTCTACTGCTCTACAGCTGCCGACTATTTGTAGAGCTCTACTGCTCTACAGCTGCCGACTATTTATAAAGCTCTACTGCTCTACAGCTGCCGACTATTTGTAGAGCTCTACTGCTCTACAGCTGCCGACTATTTGTAGAACTCTACTACTCTACAGCTGCCGACTATTTGTAGAGCTCTACTGCTCTACAGCTGCCGACTATTTGTAGAACTCTACTGCTCTACAGCTGCCGACTATTTGTAGAGCTCTACTGCTCTACAGCTGCCGACTATTTGTAGAACTCTACTACTCTACAGCTGCCGACTATTTGTAGAACTCTACTACTCTACAGCTGCCGACTATTTGTAGAACTCTACTACTCTACAGCTGCCGACTATTTGTAGAACTCTACTACTCTACAGCTGCCGACTATTTGTAGAGCTCAGAGTGCCGCCCGATTGTCGTGACGCACTCTGAGGACAGCGTCTCACGGCTGGGGTGGTCACTCACAGCCCTTACCTCACAAAACCTCGACTCTTTGACTGCAGTAAATGTTGTGTGCTTTTCTGGGGTTAGATGCATTGTAAATGTTTTGAATCTGTGACAACTGGTGACCTTCCATTTGTGAGGGCCTTGGGCAATGTTTCCACTACATACCCAGTCATAAATTTATTGTCTACTTGGCATTGCTATTCATTCATATTGGCATTGGCATTGTCTACTTGGCATCTACTTGGATTGGCATCTACTTGCTGCAGATGCAAAGCATAAGGTATCGTAGATCAGTGCCATCGTGGTCAGGTCAATGCCATAATCCCTCAACATCTCTCACTGAACACAAGGCCAGCCACTGTACGACAGACGATGCGGCCCACTACCTCCGAATCTGAGGCTGACCCATTTCAGACGCGGTCTCCACCTGATCACGTGGGTGCATGACTCTGGTCCTGACCGCGCCCTGCCTGGGAGATGGTCTCATCTCATAACCGGTGCCACAACGACGCAGCGACTATTTCAGAGACGGTCTAGCCTCATAACGTCCAGAGTCGCCCAATTATAACCGCGCCCTGCACCGTGTCTTATTCCGGCGACCTCACGTCCCACGACCCAATCCAGGTGCTGCGACTCTGACGGCTCGCTCACGTCCCAGGCACTGCGACCCTGACGGCTCGCCCATGTCCCAGGCACCGCGACCCTGACGGCTCGCTCACGTCCCAACACCGCGACCCTGACGGCTCGCTCATGTCCCAGGCACTGCGACCCTGACGGCTCGCTCATGTCCCAGGCACTGCGACCCTGACGGCTCGCTCACGTGCCAGGCACCACGACCCTGACGGCTCGTTCACGTCCCAACACCGCGACCCTGACGGCTCGCTCATGTCCCAGGCACTGCGACCCTGACGGCTCGCCCATGTCCCAGGCACCGCGACCCTGACCGCACGCTCACGTCCCAACACCGCGACCCTGACGGCTCGCTCATGTCCCAGGCACCGCGACCCTGACGGCTCGTTCACGTCCCAACACCGCGACCCTGACGGCTCGCTCATGTCCCAGGCACCGCGACCCTGACCGCACGCTCACGTCCCAACACCGCGACCCTGACGGCTCGTTCACGTCCCAACACCGCGACCCTGACCGCACGCTCACGTCCCAACACCGCGACCCTGACCGCACGCTCACGTCCCATCACCGCGACCCTGACCGCTCGCTCACGTCACCGCGACCTTGACCGCTCGCTCCTGTCACCGCGACCCTGACGGCTCGCTCACGTCCCAACACCGCGACCCTGACCGCTAGCTCACGTCCCAGGCACCGCGACCCTGACCGCTCATTCACGTCCCAAGCACCGCGACTCTGACGGCTCACTCACGTCCAAAGCACCGCGACCCTGGACACTGACCGCTCGCTCACGTCCCAACACCGCGACCCCGACGGTTCGCTCACGTCTCATCACCGCGACCCTGACCGCTCGCTCACGTCACCGCGACCCTGACCGCTCGCTCACGTCACCGCGACCTTGGCCGCTCGCTCCTGTCACCGCAACCCTGACCGCTCGCTCACGTCCTAGGCACGGCCTCGTCGTCGACCAGCGAGCGCACCATCACACCCGAGACGGTGGTGGAGCTGGCGGCCAAGCGGTGCCCCGAGCCGGGCAGCGAGCCCGCCGGTGGCGCCGCCCTGCGGACGGCCGAGGCCGACCGAGCGCCGCTGGGTGCGCCAGAGCCCGAGAAACCGCAGGTGGCAGCGGCTGGCAGGGAGAGCGTGAGTTGGCCGGCGCCTCACCGAGCGACGCCTGGCGCGCTGTGGGTCGGGTCACCTGGGCCGGCCGTGGTCGCACGTAGACCCGCTGCCTGGATAGGCATTCGCGGGTCGGTCTTGTTGATATTTTGCTACCTGGTACGTGAGTTGTTGAGAACGTGCACGGAGTCTATATCAATTTTAGAGCAGTTTTTACCTGTCGCTGGTTTAGTGGATGTGTTATAATGCCGATGTATCCCGGTCAATCGACCTATGACTATGGTGAGCCACCTGTGCTACTAAGTCATATAACTCAAATGAGTGATCAAGTGAACTGGTCAGTTACATAAATAAGCGTGGTTACCATTCCCTGGCCGACTTTGCGGTCGTTTGACTCACAGTGATTTGTACTAGTGCTTTACATATACAGTGCTTGCCAAGTGCGCACCAAGTGCAATAATAAACAATATACACAAACAATAATATGTCGAGCCTTTAGTGCTGACACGCAGTGTCGCCTATGTCCTGTGCCACTGTGAATTTTTGTCAGTTCATTTCGAAGCGTTCGATATCAATATGTTATGTCCCGTGTTTGAAATTAGCTGGCCTCCTGCTAGACATCCTGCTGAGACTCAACGTAACCATTCAGGAGACGGTTGTGCTGCTGCGAGAGAGAACTGACGTCATCCGAGAGGAGGAGGAGGGTGAGGAGGAGGACACGGTGCCCGAGGGCGAGCGTTCCGAGGGAGATGGAGCCGAAGAGCAAAAGCCCGACGAGCACAAGCCCAAGACGGAAGCTGAAATTGCCAGCGAGACCAGGAGAAAGCGGGTGAGTTAGCCGTAATGTATGTCGAGTTTTGAATATGTTGGTAATCACATCCTGCTTTCGGCTTGGTGCGAACCTCGGTGCTACGTGCAAGCTCCGTTTTAATGCACTTTGCACGACGCTTCAATGCAGAGGCGAAGCAATTATTCAGCTTATGCTTTTCTGTTCTAAACAATGGGCAGAAGCTTATGTGTGGCTGTCATGTCTTCCCATTCCTTGAGACCTCCCCGCTTTGCTGGAAATTTCATCAATTTCTTGCTGCTGCGATTCTGCTGCAGAACACGCAGTGGCGCTGCGCATCCTGCTTGAGCATGCACTCTTTCGGCCACCCTCGTCGCCGGTTTGGCGCACCTCTGACATGATGACCACGCATAGCTGCGGACCGCCCTTGTTTAGTGAGTGCGCCGTACTAATTCGACAGAAACTGTACCAGAAATCGGAGAGCATCGTGCTGGAGGCGGAGGAGCCGTGGATGGACCGCTCGTTCCCCTCCTTCGCGTCGCGGGGCAGCACCTCGCTCAGCTGCAGCGACGCCTTCAGCATCCCCCGCACCTCCGGCTACAGGTACGAGTCGTGAGCAGGTAACAGCTAATAGATTCCGTTTCGCCGTGTTACGCAGCTGTTCAGATGGTGGTGGACGTGTGTGGCTATGGTTCCACGACGCCCTCAGCCGTTGGGACCATGCTGCGTCGCTTGCGTCTCACCCTGCAGGGAGGACGGACACCGCGTGGAATCAAATCCGTACCTCTGGTTTCCCAGACGCATAGCTAAGGTGCTGACCTACCGGCGCCTTCAGGTGTCGTTCGCTGGTGCTGTAACTATAAGCGTCGCGTATATTGCATCAGTTACCGCTGTTAGAGGCAGTGTTGTAAGGCGCTATCTGCCGGATGCAGCTAGTTCATCGCTGGGTTATTTGTCGACGCATACCACTGCTAAGATTATTGGTGGCACCGCACGTCTAAACTTGACCAGTGCAGGTTCCCTGCGCCAGTAGTCGAACTTGGACATCTTGATCTTGAATAAAATACTGTAACCATCCGGCCGCCCAAGGGTGCCACCCTCGCTTAGCTCACGTGGCTAATTTACAAACAGTCGGAGTAGAAATAATGCACACCGTCTGAACTGCCGTCGATTTAAGAGCCTTACTTATGGTGGAAGTGTTCAGGCCCGGCACATCAGTCGATATTTGCCGTGTTTGTGTTGCGAACTACCACCTAGTTTGTATGTGTTGAAGATGTCCCTTGCAATGCCGATGGCTGATTCTCGTGGCATTGAATCAATCTGGGATGATGATTTAAATGCCGAAAATCCCCATAGCTGACGATAAGCTTGTCTACATCCCTCCACGATCTCCGTCATCTTATTTTCACGCTCTGACTTCAAAGTATTTCGTAAAATACGACATCAATGGATCCTGGATTTTACGCAGTATTTGCTTCATTACCCTCATTGCAAGCAACTAATTGCTTTCTAACGAGATGAGGGCAGTACTCTTGCTTTTTGAACCTATCGGCTTATTACATGTTCGAAGCAGGGGTGTTAAGAATCTGATTTATCAGTAACGTGCTGAATATTCGTCCATGGGACACGTACGTAGGAAGAATGTCCGCATACCGACACCCAGAGACTCTCGGGTGAGCCCTCCTTGTAGGGTAAATGGCTTGGGCCGTGCTCCCACCTGTCTACGTAACATGCTCACCAGAGCACGCGCCCCTGCCCCTGCTTTCAGTGACACGCTATCGATCCCGCGTGGCTCGGCATTCAGCGATACCATGTCAATCCCGCGGGGCATCTCTGAGTTCGGAGACGCGCTCAGCACGCCGCGAGGCTCCACGTTCAGCCGCACCTCCGAGGGACAGCTCGTGAGTGGCTTACCTGGCCGAGATCAGGCTTTTCCGCTAGGAATCTCCATGTTCCGAGACGCGCTCAGCACGCCGCGAGGCTCCACGTTCAGCCGCACCTCCGAGGGACAGCTCGTGAGTGGCTTACCTGCCGAGATCAGGCTTTTCCGCTGGGAATCTCCACGTTCAGAGACGCGCTCAGCACGCCGCGAGGCTGCACCTTTCGCCGCACTCCCAGGGACAGCTCGTAATCAGGCTTTGCTGGGGTCTTTTGGTCGCGCTGTGCGTCTCTCCAATGGGCGTGCGACTTTATCTGACTGTGGTCGCGGTCATTTCCTCGCCGCCAGCTGTTGCCAAAGGCGGGTCACAAGCGCCTGAGCACGAACAGCGCGCCCGCCGATGGTGGGACGCTCGGACAGCGCCTACCACACGCCGCGCACCAGCTTCCAGTACCCGCCCCGACAGCCCGCAAAGCATCCCAAGGGCCGGCGTCGTAGTCACCTCGTCCCGTCAGAGCCAGCGGCGGTAGGTGGCGCTGCCTGTGCAGTATAGGTGACGCGTTGGACGGTGCAAGCGCGACGTGTCTGGCCTCGCGTCTGCCGTGCCTCGCGATCGATACGACATTTGACGACGACCGGAAATTGTTCTTGATGCAGATGAGGTCGTGAACAGATGGGATCCACGTATGTGTATCAGTGTAAATCAGGGCGAATGGTAGGTGCACGCATTTCAGAGCAATTCACACCGCGTGTCTCTGATTAAGGAGCAGCGATTTCGGAGCGCCCCGCCGCATAACCATGCGGACTACGGACCGTTGTGTGCCTAACGCACGGGAGCGAGCAGCCGTGCAGCGTCGTGACGGTCGCCACCGGCGCACCGCAGGAGCAGCAGCAGCTCCGCCGCCTCGGCCTTCGCCATCGCGACGGCCGGCTCCTCCAATCCGCGCGACCACCCGGCGCCCAGTCAGCAGCCGTGGACGGCGGCCGAGCGGCGCCAGAGCTGCAAGCGCCAGGAGAGCATTGTCTCCACGGCGGCCACCATGCGCGTGCTCAACGTGCTCCGACACTGGGGCTCCAAGCACTTCCAGGTGGGCGAGCTGACTGTACGCTCCTGGGGCCCGCTGCTGTCCGCTGAAGATGTGTGCGGCGGCGCTGGCAGGGCTGGTGCGACGCCGTTGCGAGCTTCTTTGGTCACTGAGATGACGTGGACTGTGAGGCTTAATGGCTGGAGTGTGCTAAGTCAGATATTCAGATATTTCGGCCGACGAGTGGTTGGCGCAGGATTTCCGGCACTGTTTGGTTGGGAGTCCGTTCTTCTGACAACTCTTGACGCCCTCACAGAACGAGACTCTCTTTTGATTCCTGTACTGAGACGTATGCAATGGCAGACCGACCCGCCCGCCCTCAGAACAAGTTTATTGGTCTGTGTTACCATATTACATCACTTCATAACACACTCGCACACTACCAGAGATCAAAAGAAGTTTTACAATATCTCGGGCCAGGAAGTTTTTCAGATTAACGGCGATCGTGCATTCGATTTATTGTTGGACTCCAACAAGGATTTTGAATTTAGGGTTGTTTTCTCGTGAAGCCTCATGGCCACGTTTCGAGTGTCAAGTGAGTGGCAGATCTGCAGACATTTCATTTATTTACATCGACGCTTACAATATGCATGAAACAAGCTCGGTCATCCAAGGTAAATGGGGGACGAATCATGCGACTTTTCAAGCGCCAACATCGATAAATGTTGTGCACTTTCTGCACTGCAGGACTTTGAGAGCGACAACCAGCTGAAGAACCTGACGATCGAGTTCCTGGAGGACGTGATGAGCTCGCGGACGATACTGCCGACCGAACACAAGGCGGCCAGCCAGCTGTACCACATGATCACGAGGGAGGAGCCGGCCAGAAACCGCGTCACCTTGGACAGCCTGCTGGCGCCGCCGCTGGTACGACGCCCTGCCAGAGCGGAGCATTGACCTGGCGTTCGCCGACGTACCTTTTCACGTTACGTCATATTTTCACATGACGGCAGCAAGCGACGGCCAGATTCCATGTTGTATTGGATAATTTTGGCAATCACGTGATTGAACATTCAATATCAGCACCTCATAAGCCACGTTATTATAGCGGACAGTGATACGTGTGCGCGAAAGAACAATGTTCCCACCACGCTTACGATCATGCGCTGAGTCTGAAAGCCTTTGCCAAGCTTCAGCTAATCAGGGCAATGCGCAACATGTGTATACCACGCGTAGAGCTTGTCATGTGTTTCCTTATCTTCATGCTGAGACAAAGGGAGCTGTTTCGTGCCGAAGCTCAACTTCAGCTAGCCGCTGGCCTCCGTTCCCAGACGCCCAGCATGGAAAGCATAGACACCTTGTCTGCTCTGGACATTGCGGAGCAGATGACGTACCTGGACCACCAGATCTTCATGGCTATCAGGAGCGAGTGAGTAGTCCTTGGCGGGCTTCAAACCGCGTTCAGACCGGTTGTTTTTCAGGTGTGAACAGTGCAGCAGCGTCCGAAAAGAAGGCGGCCCATTGCCATTGTCCATCGAACCCGTTGGTCAAAGACGGCTGGTCAAGAATGGACGAGCCATATTCCGTCCGAACCCGCTACCCGTCCGTCCGGACCCCGTACCCGTCCGCCCAGACCCCGTACCCGTCCGCACAGACCCCGTACCCGTCCACCCAGACCCCGTACCCGTCCGTCCTGACCCCGCACTCGTCCACCCGGACCCCGTACCCTGTCCGCCCCAATCCCCGTACCCATCCGCCCGGACCCCGTACCCGTCCGCCCGATCCCCGTACCCATCCACCCGATCCCCGTACCCGTCCGCTCGGATCCTGTATCCGTCCGTCCGGACCCCGTCCCCGTCCGTCCGGACCCCGTACCCGTCCGCCCGGACCCCATTCCCGTCCGCCCGGACCCCGTACCCGTCCGTTCGAGCCCGTACCCGTACCCGTCCGGACCCCGTACCCGTCCGCCCGGACCCCGCACCCGTCCGTTCGGACCCCGTACCCGTATCCGTCCGGATCCCGTACCCGTCCGTCCGGACCCCACACCCGTACCTGTCCAATCCCGGTATTCGTATTTGAGGGCAAATGCTGTTTGACTTGCCACCATATTAATACCGTGACACCTACAGAAAGTTGTGTGGGTCTAACCCCGCTAGTTTGTGCGACAGTTCATTACGCGATGGAAGCGCTTTTGACGTCTTTCCCGTCCATTTCTCTTCGGTGGTGCGCCATGACGTTCAGTCTATTACTCTGCCTTACCGAGCCCGATCATGTATCTTCATCTTCCAAATTTAGAGCAGAACGCTGCCGTCTCGGCCGTTATCAAGATCATACATTTAGAAATTCCCTCAAGTAAACTTCCGTGAATATTCTATGCACGATTAGCATAAACTCCCGTGCAGTGCAACTATTGCCAGACAATAAATTCCGACTGAAATACTATAGCATGCAAAATATAGCGTTCAAATTCCTTTTAATTACGCGTAGCAACATAAAGAACTAGGGGAACGAATCATTGTTTGGAGCATTTATGGTGCTGTTGATACACGCAGTGATAAGTATACTTGAGCTCGTCATACCTAGAGAAAGGTCTGATTCATTCCAGGTCAAATGTGACGAAATTGATGGCGAGAGATCCACGTATGATTGTCACCATGCCAGGCAAATTGTCGGCCTTTGAAACTGCATCATCAGTTGTCGCTGGATAACGCAGTCATTGCACGTAGGGCCTGCATAGGCATGCATTCATTGTCACCTAGAAATGGGATCAAATGCACTTCAGAGACAGTTATTTGAAGCCACACCGCATTTACCGTATACCAGCGAATCAGGGACCTTTATAGCGTACCTCCAATCATCTTTCCGCGAATGTCATGGCGTTCCAAATGCTAAGCTTAACAGCGTCAGTTCGTGGCTTTCATTTCCAGGGCGGCTTTCACTGTTACTGTAACTGTCACTTGTAACTACAACTGTCACTGTAACTATAACTGCCAACGCAACTATAACTGTTATTGTAATTATGACTGTCACTGTAACTGTAACTGCCACTGTAACTAAAGCTGTCACTGTATTGCAGCTGTTAATATAACATCTGCCGCTGTAATTGCAACTGTCACGTTAGCATTAATTGTCACTGTAGCCATGACTGTTGCTTTAAGTACAGCCGTCATTGTAACTCACTAGATATGTAACTCACACAGTTAGCAAACATGGATCTAGTTCCCGGACTTTCCCATTGGTTCCCCAAACACTTAAAATGTGCCGTCATAGCGATGGGGCGCCGCGTTGCTAAAAACTTATCGTGATTTATCATTACGCCTGCTTCAATTAGCAAAACCATCACTGTGTTGTGGGTACGCGTTGCGACATGGTCAGTTTGTACGGCTCCTCTGATCACGGACAACGGTTTCATCGTCTCGCCAGGCTGCCAAAAAAAATTGCAACACAGTTGAAATTGTCTCGGAAAAGTTCAAAATTTTACGCTTGCGGACAGCTTTAGACAGCTATGATGTGCAGCCTTATGTTTTTTCAAACAGTTAAATTTCACGTCAATGTAATGCATACAATTTCTCTCAAGACTCACACTTGGCTCTCAAGGTGATGAGCTCTTAGATACGGGGGAGACAATCAAGCAGAGATATGATGGAGACAGACATCAGCCGGCGCCGATCTGGGGAGAAGTTGATGCTACGGGCGGTGGTGCGGTCGCCTTCCGATGGCACCTGACATCTTCAGCGGGCCGCCACCAACCGACTATCGACTGGCGCCATAATCCGCTCACAGAGGGCGAAATGGCGCGGAAAATACAATCAGCGGCGCGCGACGCAGACTGCAGCCGGCCTGTGTGGAGGCGAGGCGTGGGGTCGCTGCGGAGCGGATCAAAGGTGACTCAGTCGATCCCAGTGTCCTACCAGCGGTGTTTCACGAGTATCACTTCCGGGGCTGGTCCGGACTGCGCCACCACAGTGACATCGACAGACACGCCGATGCTGGCTCAGGGCATTCCCGCGGCACACAACTCGACGTTAGTCGCCGGCGCTGGTCCGACCCGCGCCGCCACAGCGCCCCATGCACGACGGCGGCTGTCGGGGCGGCGACAGTCAGCACCCCACCCGTGCCTCGGGCCGGCGGTGACGCGGCGACCCCGGCGGACGCGGCCATGGAGACGGCCAGGAACGCAATTACGGCCGTCGTTGGCCGGCTGATTGGCCGAATCAGCGGCCATTGCCGCGGACGGTGCGACCCGCCGGGCGATTGTCGGTCAGAGGGCGTCCGGCGCCGGGTCCTCACGAGCCTGCTCCGAGACGAGCTGGGGCCGGCGGCGCCCGGGTCCGCCTCTCAGGTAGGTGTGCGGGAGGGTGGCCGCTGCTGTTGAGAGGCGCGGCGCGTGTCGCGGGACTTCGTACGGGAATGTCCGCTCGGTAGGGAAGAACTGTCGTGATGAGCGTCAAGCAAGTCAGCACTCGAGCCACCGAGGAAAGGCTTTACGCAAGCTGGCCGACTTCACTGGCTATGGCTAGCACCTGTTGAGGGCTACTTCATGACGTTCTGACGTCAGGACAATGCATCGAAATGTGGACTGGCATCGCTTTGCACCAAAGTTGTGTTGCGCATAATGATGCGATATATTCTTGCTTGAGTCGAAATGGCTGGGTGATGATCTAGCTTCGAGAATGCATGTGCAGTGCCGACTCTCAGAATCTGTTACCAAATGCCATGCCCCCGTACTCGGAAGCCACTCTCACCCCTCCAAAATTACCGCGCAGTCTGATCACGCTCCTCATCCTCCGGGACCGTTCCGCTCCAAGCCTGCAACTCCACACAGATCGTCGTCCGTCCATCTCCCGGGCGTTGTGTCCCTCCGCGTGCTCTCCTCCCGGGGCGGGCGTCGCCGGTTGGCGGCGTGCGCCCCTCGCAGCCCCTCGCTGCGGCCTGCTGGTTCCGCCCCTCTGCCCGGCGCCTCCTCTCGACCGACACGGCTAGCCCTGATACATATATATTGGCTGGCGGCGGCGGCGGCTGGCCGGCCGGCCGGCCGTCGGCCGTCGGCCGCCCGCCGCCGCCGCCGCCGCCGCCCGCCCGCCGCCGCCGCCGTCAAATCAATAAGTCGGAGCTGAGGCCGCCGCCACCTTTGCCGTGCCGGACCGGCGCTGTGTCGCCGCCGCGCTGTCGGGAGACGGCGGAGACCAGCTGGCATTGCCTGACTGGTGGGGCGGTGGAGATGACTGACACTGCCTGGCTGAGAAAGGGTAGCGGAGACAACTGACACCGTACGATTTGGGAGGGGAGGGTGGCGGAGACAACTGATGTCTGTTTGGATGGGGCAGCGAAGACAATTGCCACTGTCAGATTGGAGGGGACGACGGAGACAACTGACACCGCCTGACTGGGAAGGGAGGCGGAGACAACTGACACCACACGACTTAGGAAGGGAGGGTGGCGGAGACAACTGACAACGTCTGTCTTTATGGGGGAGGGGGGGCGGGGACAACTGCCACTGTCATATTGGAGGGGATGGCAGAGACAACTGATGCTCCCTGATTGGAAAGGCATAAGAGACAACTGACACCGAAGGGGTATGGCGGAGGCAACTGCCACTGCAGTGGGCCGTGGACGTCCAACATGCTGAACTGGAGAGGATGTAGAAGGCAGTTAAACGGTACCCACTGTTGGTGGAGACGGCACCACTCGAATGCGTCTGTTCAGAGATTACTGACGCTGACTGACTGAAGCGGAGCGGGAGGAACAAAGGACACCACCCGGTTGTTGGTTGGCGCAGGAGACTTGTGATGCCACCCCCCTGCTGGTGGAGACCCTCGACACTTCTACACTAGTGGAAGACGGCGGGCAGGGTGGAGACGAATTTACTGTGCTAGGAATGAATAGCAATTTTGGGAGTGTTTTCGGAGGCGGAGAAGAAAACCAACACTCTCTTGGTGTCGGAGGATTGAAGGAGACCGCTGGCACTAGCCATTATCTAAGAAAGGAGAGAATTGGTAGAGGGTGGGCAGGTCAGTGTTCGTCGTAGACCTCCACCCGTAAAGAGGCCGCTCAGGCTCAACAACCCACCCTACCTATGGTTGTGGTGCTGGTTATGTTCGCAAACTGCTTTTCAATGTGCGTTGCTTGATTATGCTTGTTATATTTCCTGGCAACACTGACGATTTCAGTAGTTGAAAGCGCAATGGCTAGTTTTTTGCTGCTCTAAAACATACGTGAATAATCTTTTGCGAATGTCGAGACATGGTCAAGCATACATTAGATTGCCCGATTTCAGGACAGGATCAGTGTTCAAATTGCCCACTGAGAAAGTCATTTAACGCGGGTGTACGAATGACCCCTAAGCTACTGGGGGCCTCCTCTGGATCACAACAAGGTCACAGGTCAGATCACAACACTCGATTCTTTCAGTTGCGACGAGGTCTGCTC